CTCCTTGTAACCTCAGTCTCCTGGGTCAAGTGACTCCCCTGCCTTAGCCTCTCAAGTAGCTGGGACTACAGGCACGCACCACCACGCCAGCTAATCTTTTGTGTTTTAGTAGAAACAGGATTTCACCATGTTGGCCAGAATCTCAATCTCCTGACTTCATGATTCACCCACATCAGCCTCCCAAAGTGCTGGGATTACAGGCGTGAGCCAGAGCAACTGGCCTGATCCAGAAATTCTATTCTTTGGTATCTGCCCAACAGATAGCATACATATATACACCAAATATATGTACAAACATATTCAGAGCAGTACTATAAATAGTAGTCAAAAACTGGAAACAATCCCAATTAAAATTGTAGATTGGTTTTAAAAATTGTGGTATAACTTTGGGAGGCCAAGGCGAGCGAATCACGAGCTCAGGAGATCAAGACCATCCTGGCCAACAAGGTGAAATCCCGTCTCTACTAAAAAATACAAAAAATTAGCTGGGCGTGGTGGCGCATGCCTGTAGTCCCAGCTACTTGGGAGGCTGAGGCAGAAGAATTGCTTGAACCTGGGAGGCAGTGAGCCGAGATTGTGCCACTGCACTCCAGCCTGGCACCTGGCAACACAGCAAGACTCTGTCTCAAAAAAAAAAAGTCGTATAGAAAGTCAGTTTATATGCGCAGGAAAAAAGTTGTTCTTTTTTGGTTTTTTTTTGTTTTTGAGATGGAGTCTCACTCTGTCATTCAGGCTGGAGTGCAGTGGCACGATCTTGGCTCACTGCAACCTCCTCCTCCCAAGTTTAAGCGATTCTCCTGCCTCAGCCTCCTGAGAAGCTGGGATTACAGGTGCGTGCCACCATGCTCAGCTAATTTTTATATTTTTAGAAGAGACAGGGTTTCACCATGTTGGTCAGGCTGGTCTCGAACTCCTGACCTTGTGATCTGCCCGCCTCGGCCTCCCAAAGTGCTGGGATTACAGGTGTGAGCCACTGTCCCCAACCTAATTTATTTTTAAATAGAAAAAATAACAAATCAAATACAAACTGGAGAGACCTGTTTTAATAACTCCAAGAGTCACAAGTGAAATATGAATGTGACCTGACCACCAAAAGTTAATGCAACAGGACACACAAAAGGTAACCTACAACAGGGCTCTAGGCTGACATATTTGAAGGAATATATTGTGATTTGGGGGCCATACTTTCAGAGTGTCATTCAGAAAGTAGATAGTAATGTCAAGAAGGGAAGGAATTCAAGGATCTAGAAACTATGTTGTGAGACTTGACTAACAGCACAAAAGACTGCTGACATTAACAAGACACTTAGTATACAACATCCCGGCATATGGATGGCAGCAAGAAGTACGTGGGAAATGAATGAATGGGAGAAATATAATAAGCCTTTAATATTTTAAAGGTGATTAAATGAATTGGGACAAAGTGGCACCCAATAATTTGATAAATGAATGAGTAAATGAGTAAATAAATGAATGAAATATTATCAGTCTTGATATGTTAAAAGAGCTGTCTCACATGGAATCAGGATTAGTGTTACATATATCTGAGGAAAGAGTCAAGATGAATGGGGAGAATTTATAGAAACTCTCAAATTTCAGCCTACTTAGAGTTTTCTCAAAATTAAAGCTACCCCAAAATCAACAGGATGCCTCAAAAAGAAGCAGTTAAGGCAGAAGCTACATGTCTAACATTGACTATATGGCCCAGAGGCCTTCTGTAGCACTAATACTCTATAATTCTATGAAATGCCATCTTGAGGCTGGGCACAATGGCTCACATCTGTAATCCTAGCACTCTGGGAGGACAAAGTGGGTGGATCACCTGAGGTCAGGAGTTCAAGACTAGCCTGGCCAGTATGGTGAAACCCCATCTCTACTAAAAATACGAAAATCAGCCAGGCGTGGTGACAGGTGCCTGTGGACCCAGCTACTCAGGAGGCGGAGGCAGGAGAATTGCTTGAACCCGGGAGGTGGAGGTTGCAGTGAGCTGAGATCACGCCACTGTACTTTAGTCTGGGTGACAGAGCAAGACTTTGTCTCCAAAAAAAAAAAAAAACAGCCATCTTTAGATCTTGCTGCACAGCAAATAATTCACAATCACTCCAGTTCCTTTTAAAACCAGTATCCATTTCTTACTAAATGAAGATAGTTTACCTGCATAGTATAAATCAAATTTTAACAGCTTTCTTTGAAACATAATGGCAAAACAAGTAATTTATGGCCTGGTGTGATAGCTCACAACTGTAATCCCAGCAATTTGGGAAGCTGAGGCAGGCACACTGCTTGAGCCCAGAAGTTTGAGACCTGCCTGGGCAACATGCTGAAACCTTGTCTCTATCAAAAATAAATAAACAAATTATAAAGTAGATTTAGAGCTTCAAGAAAAAAAAATATAAAAATTAGCCAGGCATAGTGGTGGTGGTTCATACCTGTGGTCCCAGCTATTGGGGAGACTGAGTCAGAAGGCTCACCTCAGCCCAGGAGGTTGAGTCTGCAGTGAGCCATGATCATGCCACTGCACTCCAGCCTGGATAACAGAGCAAGACCCTGTCTCAAAAAAGAGATAATTTATAATCTCTAAGAACCTCTAGCTGTTCAGAGTATCCAGATGCAAAGCAGTTAAGTCCAGGAGAACAAAAACTACCCCTGGTTATCTACAGATATCCATTGCACAATCTCAGAAAAATCAAAACTGCATTTTCTAGAATTCAAAGCACTAAATTCAGACTAGGCCCTTGGCCATTGTTAATATAAATGAGCCTCTCCAGAGTTAAAATGGCTCTAGAAATTTTGTATAAAGTTGAGTTCATTCCATTTCTACTCACTGACTAGAATCTACCACCTCTACCACTTCATTGTTACAGTTTTCTTACAGTTTTCAAAAGACTTTCACTATTTGAGTCTCATAAATGACCTAGAAGGAAGGTAGAGTTAGGAAAATTAATCCCATTCTACAGATGAGAAATGGAAATACCAAATCAAATGCTTGATCCAGTACTGCAGAATGAAACCAAAATCGCAATCCAGTCTTTTCCCGTTCAGGTTTTATTAGTCATCTGGTATCACATATGTTTACCATTCCTAAAGCAAAACTGATCAAAATGCTTCAAAGTAACAGTTATGGAATAAAGGAGCTCCACTTCTTCACAAAGAGAAAGAGGAGGGTTGCCAAAAAGAACACATGCTTAGTTAAATGAAATCAAAACTATATAAGGAATTCAGATTTCCAGTTTAAAATGTTTACCCAACTGCTGTGAGAAAAATACACAATCAGGAAAAGCGGTTTAATATTTCTAAAGGCCTGGATTAAAATTTCAGCTGTAAACTTCATTACTGTAATTAGATTTTTAATGCATATTTATTAAACATCCATTTAAATACTGTGTTCACAATTATTCATGAGTTATTTGTACATTTGTGTTGATTTTAACAAACTGTAAATAGTGGCCACTGACCAGAAATGTTTCCCTGCAATGACAGAAGCCCATGCTAAGGTCATAGGCAGCCTGTTTTATGCTAGATTATGTTCTAATCATACCCAAAAGATAAATATTCAGCTTTTTTTTTTGAAGACCACATTGGTCATCAATGACCCAAAACATCAGACTTACCATTGACATTAAAGACCTAGGTTTCATTCTGTGATGAATAAACAAAGTACAGAATAGAAGAAAATCAAATCTTAATTAAACTCTTTCTTTAGAAAAACAACATAAGCCATCATCAAGGAGTGCACTGCAAGATGATTTACTTTATTTATAAAAGGCTGAGTTAGGAGCTTTAAAAGGGTGCTTTTGATTTAAATAGAAAAATTATGAAAATTAACACTAAATGCTTGGTGGTTATCATTCTTTTACTTCAGAAGCTAGTTAATCTTAAATGTGCCAATGTGTATAACTTTACAAAAGGAAAAAAAAATAGTACTTTAAATTTCATGATAATAAATCAGTAAAATAATGCCTAAAAATCTGAATAAAGCTATTCTGAAGTAATTATAGGCATGGCCCAGAATACTGAGTAACTCCTTAATATTCACCCTGTTCACATACTATTTAATAAAGACATCCAAGGGATCTAATTTTTTTCAAAAGATTTTAAAACCCATTTATTTGTTATGTTAGTTTAAATTTTATACACACACATATATAAAGGAGAATTTCAAAATGGAATCTGCAAGAGTTGCATTTAGGATATCAATTATATTATGAAGAAATGGAGGAACAGCTATAAAGAATTACATGTTCAGGCTTTAAAACTTGTTGAAACTGCCACATGGTCAAGAGTATGGATAGATAATATGTTGATAGAGTAGCTTCTGGGATGGTGGCAATGAAGAGAAGAAATAAGACGGATAAGCAGGATGGTAAAAGAAGGTTATGAAAGAGACTCTGGAAATTAAAGTATCTCCAGGCAAGGAGTAGAAATAGTCCTCAATAGAGAACCTTGGTCAAGGGAGGCAAAAGACAGCAGGAAGAGCTAGCAACCGTAATGCTTTTAGGAGAGAAGATAGAGCTAGGTGGGTGGCACATACCTAAAGTCTACTACTGGAGGCTGGGGTTGGAGGATCACTTGAGCTCAAATTAGAGACCAGGCTGAGCATGGTGGCTCACGCCTATAATCTTAACACTTTGGGAGGCCAAGGCAGGAGGATAGCTTGAGCCCAGGATTTCCAGACCAGGGCATGCAACATGCAATATAGTGAGACTGTGTATCTAATTAAAAAAAAAAAAAAAAAAAAAAAAGCCAGGCGTGGTGGCTCATGCCTGTAATCCCAACTCTTTGGGAGGCTGAGGCAGACAGATCGCTTGAGGTCAGGAGTTCAAGACCAGCCTGGCCAACATGGCAAAACCCATCTCTACTAAAAATACAAAAATTAGCCAGGTGTGGCAGCTCACACCTGTAATCCCAGCTACTCAGGAGGCCAAAGCACTAGAATTGCTTGAACCTGGGAGGCAGAGGTTGCAGGGAATTGAGATCACACCACTACACTCCAGCCTGGGTGACAGAACAAAACTCCGTTTTCCAGAGTCAAGGAAACTTTTCTTTTGAACTATTGACAGCTTTTAACAATTGAGTATATTCCTGTAAACAAAATTTGGAGTATATTTGTTTCTCTCTACCTGATCTCTCCAGAACTTGAACACTATTAGTGAGTATCTTAACTTATGACAATAGTTATTTACATAAGTGCAATAAGAATCTGTTTCATTTGTAACAGGGCACAATTGGAGAAACTGGTTATTTTACCAAGGTTTTGACTGAAATGGTGTGCTTTCCTTTAAGGAATCATACTTGACTTATAGAGCCACTAAAAGCCCCTTTGGACCATGCATTTCATCTGTGCCACAGCATGTTTGCTTCTCCATTGGGAACTCCTGTCTCTCCTTGCCTCGAAATGGACCCCAACTGCTCCTGCTTGCCTGGGGGCTCCTGTGGCTGTGCCGGCTCCTGCAAATGCAAAGAGTGCAAATACACCTCCTCCAAGAAGAGCTGCTGCTCCTGCTGCCCTGTGGGCTGTGCCAAGTGTGTCCAGGGCTGCATCTGCAAAGGGAAATCGGACAAGTGCAGCTGCTGTATCTTATGCTGGGACAGCCCTGCTCCCAGATGTAAATACAGCAACCTGTATAAACCTGGATTTTGCTACATTTTTTCTTCTATGAAACGTGAATGGCAATAAACTCATCTAGACTAAAAAAAAAAAAAAAAAAGCCCTTTGGAAACTCGCCTCATATCTTGTCTATACAGTCCCTGCACAGGGTTCCTGACCTTTGGTAAGTAAAGAAGTACAGTACAGACCTAGAAGCCCCGAACCTCCAGAAAAGATGTATTTACTCAACTCATAGGTATTTGAGGGTACAAACCCATGGCTGGACTCAACTTTTAAAAAAAGTCTTATCAGAGATTCCTTCTATGGAACAGAGTTCCAACAAAGTCAGTTTCAAAAGCCTATGTGAGAAATAATTACTTTTGCTGCACTTTATACAAATATCAGACCAAGTACAATAAAGCAAATCGGTGTTTCATAATTTGTCTTTAGTAAAAATGGGAGACTGGAGAGAGAAATTATGTTTCAAGAACTATGGTATACCTGTTACTAAATTCTAGTCTTGGGCTGGGAGTGATGATTCATGCCTGTAATCCCAGCACTTTGGAAGGCTGAAGCAGGTAGATCACCTGAGATCAGAAGTTCAAGACCAGCCTGGCCAACATGGTGAAACCCCGTCTCTACTAAAAATATAAAAATTAGACAGGCATGGTAATGGGCACCTGTAATCTCAGCTACTCAGGAGGCTGAGGCAGGAGAATCACTTGAACCTGGGAGATAGAAGTTGCAGTGAGCCAAGATCATGCCATTGCACTTCAGCCTGGGCGACACAAGGAGACTCCATTTCAAAAAAAAAAAAAAATCGAGTCTCATCAGTTGTTTTTAAATTTTTTTCTGCAATTTAGACTGACTCTGCTTATTCTTATAAATCAACCAGTGATCTCTCGTTGCTGCTCAGAAGAAACAATAGGAATGGATAATGTAAAAATCTGGATCAATATTCTAATCCTGGGCACATACTAGAATCAGCTAGCAACCACACATCAGCTTGGTTCCAACAGTTGCCGAGTTCATGGAAAGCCTTCTAAGTTCATTTGCTTGGGATAATTTACTTATTTTGCCTTAATGTTGTGGAATATACTGCTGTAGTACTGTTTATGTAGGAATGCAGGATAGGCTTACTCAATGTTCTCTTAAATTGAACAGTTATTAATCTTCCAGATATCGCCTTTTGTCAAAACTCAAGAGTTATGAATGGCCCTTGCCATACCAATGCTTTCTGACTAAGCTTCTTTCTATCCTGAATACAAAAGACCCCAACAGTTAGGCAGCAATATCATCGCCCCTATTCAGCCTGAAGAAGTTGCAGAAGATGGATCTTTGTTCCTCTTCAACCCTTAGGATTAAGGGTTTCCTTGTAAAAGGGAGTAGAGGAAATGTCAGCAGCATTTTAACCAGAGCAACTCCATCTTGAATAAGGGCTGGGGAAAATAAGTCTGAGGCCTTGGGGGCTGCATTCCCAGGAGGTTAAGGCATTATTAGTCACAGGATGAAAAAGGAGGCTGGCACAAGATACAAGTCACAAAGACCTTGCTGATAAAACAACTTGCAGTAAAGAAGCCAGCCAAAACCTACCAAAACCAAGATGACAACGACAGTGACCTCAGGTTGTCCTCATTGCTACACTCCCACCAGCACCACAACAGTTTACAAATGCCATGGCAATGTTACCCTATATGGTCTAAAGTTACCCTACGTGATCTAAAAAGGGGAGGTATGAATAAGCCACTCTTTGTTTAACATATAATCAATAAATAACCATAAAAGTGGGCAACCAGCAGCCCTTGGAGCTGCCTTGTCTATGGCATAGCCATTTTTCATTCCTTTACTTTGTTAATAAATTTGCTTTCACTTAAAAAATAAAAATAAAAATAAACTCATAAAATTCAAGACCAGCCCAGGCAACATAGCAAGTCCCCATTTCTACAAAAAAAAAAAAAATTCAGTAGGGTGTGATAGTCCTAGCTACACTTGGGAGGATCACTTCAGTCCTGGAGTTCCTGGCTGCAATGAATCACACCACAGGATTGCACCAGCACATGGCAGCATGGGTGAAAGAGTGAGGCCCTGTTTGTAAAATAAATAAAATGAACAAATAATAATAATAAAATAAAATTTTAAAACATTTTTAAAAGAGAGAAGTTAGGACAAATCTTAATCATGTCAGAGAAAGCTATCACGGCAGTGTTACAGCTCTTTCAGAATCTGTCTAGCAGGCTTCCTAGTTTTTACTGGAAAGTCCAAAAAAGAAAAAGAAGAAAGACATGATGGCCTAAGAAAACAAGTGTTGAGGCCGGGCGTGGTGGCTCATGTAATCCCAGCACTTTGGGAGGCCAAGGTGGGTGGATCACAAGGTCATGAGATCAAGACCATCCTGGCCAACATGGTAAAACCCTAAAAATACAAAAATTAGCTGGGCGTGGTGGTATGCACCTGTAGTCCCAGCTACCCTGGTGGCTGAGGCAGGAGAATCCCTTGAACCCGGGAGGTAGAGGTTACAGTGAGCCAAGATCACATCACTGCACTCTAGCCTGGGCAAAAGGGTAAGATTCTGTCTCAAAAAAAAAGAAAAGAAAAGAAAAAGAATATATTCAGGCAGAAGCTAAATGACTTTTTGTTTTTGTGTATTTTTGAGACAGAGTTTCACTCTTGTTGCCCAGGCTAGAGCGCAATGGTACAGTCTCAGCTCACTGCAACCCGCGCCTCCCAGGTTCAAGTGATTCTCCTGCCGTAGCTTCCCAAGTAGCTGGAATTACAGGCGTATGCCATGACACCTGGCTAATTTTGTATTTTTAATAGACATGGGATTTCACCATGTTGGCCAGGCTGGTCTCAAACTCCTGGCCTCAGGTAATCCACCCACCTCAGCCTCCCAAAGTGCTGGGATTACAGGTGTGAGCCATGGCACCCAGCCCTAAATGACTTTTTTGTCAGAGAATTTATGGAGCCTATCACTGAACTGGGTCCTAGGCTGAACTTCCAATTTCTGGACCCTTGACATCTAATATTTCTGTGGGGGGGAAATGTCAGCGGCATTTTAATCAGAGCAACTCCATCTTGAATAAGGGCTGGGTAAAATATCACTTTTGGATTTGTCTTGTGAAAAGACAAATCCAAAAGTAGCCATATCCTATTTAAATATTCATCATTTACTTAAACAAAGAGAATAAAGCTCTTGAAGTATAAAGCAGTGCTAATCTATAGTAAATCAATAATCTATTCTGGGTCTCTGAATTTTCTTTTTCAGTTCTACTTTTGGGCACATTCTACTATACCTCCTCCTCCCTCCACCCCAGAACTACATCTAGGGTACTAGCTATGCCTAAGTAATAAGCTAGAAAAAAACAACAATCTACAAAACGCTCCATTATCATAAAGGCAATGAGTCTCAGGAATAGGCATGACTTTCTTTTCTAATATAATAAATATTAACAAAAACCCAAGAAACACGAAAAAAGTTTCACATAAAGATATTCATCTAATTGGATAATAAAAAGTAAATTTAAATGCTATAACCAGTGAGTATTAAGAGAAACAGAAAGTAAGTCCAAAGACTATTTTCTTCACTAGTAATATGTACTACTAATAAATTATACCTTGGCAAGCAACACCCATGTGAAAGAAAAACAAAATATAAATAAATAACATAACATGACATAGCAATTAACATGGCTGAAGGGGGTTAGTTCCACTCACACTAATACCTAATGGGGGGCGGGGCATGGTGGCTCCCACCTGTAATCCCAGCACTTTGGGAGATCTTTTTGGGCAGATCACCTGAAGTCAGGAGTTCAAGACTAGCCTGGCCAATATGGCGAAACCCTGTCTCTACTAAAAATACAAAAAAATTAGCTGGGCAGTGGTGGTGCATGCCTGTAGTCTCAGTTACTTAGGAGGTTGAGGCAGGAGAATCACTTGAACCTGGGAGGTGGAGGTTGCAGTGAGCTGAGATAGCACCACTGCACTTCCAGCCTGAGCAACAAAAAAAAAAATCCACCTTAAAAAAAAAAAAAAAAAAACCTAAAAGTACAATATTATGATATTGTCAGCATAATAAAAAGAAATCACAAGATGTGATCCTCATATTACTTGGCTTATATTAAATAAATTTAATTTCGAAGGCTAGCTTACAGAATATAGAATCTCAGATATGCTAATTTTTAGGTTTTAGAAAACCTATAAACATTTCCCTCCCTGGCTTCTCTCCTAGTCTCCCAAAGGCCACTCTATGAGGCCCCCTTCTTCTGCTCACAAAATGTCAAGTTTTCTCAAGCACTAGCCCTCGGCTTTCGCTTTTGCTTTTCTTTTCTCTTCTTTCTTAAGAGACAGGGTCTTATGTTGCCTAGGCTTGTCTCCAACTCCTAGCCTCAACGATCCTCCTGCCTTGGCCTCATGAATAGCTGGGATTACAAGCACAAGCCACGGGCTCTTTTCAACCTACAAATATATTCTTAGGCTCATTCTTCCATTCTCATGGCACCCAATACCCCATATTTTCTTTCTTAGTCTCAGATCCTCAAGTGTCCTACAATTAACTAGACTTACTTACCTGGAACTGTAATAAATGCCTCAAATATACCAAGCCCCAAAGTGAATCTCCCTCTAAAATCCTTTGGCCCTACCATTTTGTTTCTTTTGGTTAAATTGCCCAAACTCAGAAACCTAAATTGCTTTTTTATTGTTTCACTTTTTTTTTTTTTTGAGATGGAGTGTCGCACTATACTACCCAGGCTGTAGTATAGTGGCACGATCTTGGCTCACTGCAACCTCCTGGGCTTAAGCAATTCTCCTGGACTCAAGCGATTCTCCTGGACTCAAGTGATTCTTCTGCCTCAGCCTCCTGAGTAGCTGGGATTACAGGCACCACCACACCCAGCTAATTTTTGTACTTTTAGTAGAGACAGGGTTTCACCATGTTGGTCGCTCAAAGTGCTGGGATTACAGGCCTAAACCACAGAGCCCGACATTGTTTTACTTTTTACTTATCAAGTCATTATTTAAACTGCAATAGGAAACCTAAATTTATCTTCACTCCTCCCTTTCCTTGTCTGCCCCAAGTATGTTAATTCTTTTTGTTTGTTTGTTTTTGTTTTTGTTTTTGTT